GCAAAACAAATCCTGACCCTGATTTGCTATCAGTCCACCTTAACAATAACAATGCCTGCTTTTCAGTATACTCCAGAATCTCATTTATAATTTGAAAGAGATTGTAAACCCTACAAGCTTTAGTCCTCTTAGTTTCTAATTAATCATGTCCTAAGTTGAATTCAGTTCTATATGCACTGTGTCTGTAGAAGGTTCTTGGAATGTGTTTATTCACTCAAAGAACATGCCCAAAGCTTTGGGAAGTATTTTATTTTAGAATGAATAGAAATAAGTGCACAGTATACACAGTAGGGTATGTGGGCAGGAAACATGATTTCTACAAAACACATGATTTTGGAAGCCATGTCATATTTGTCCATGTGTACATTTGCCCAATCAAGGACATCTTACTTTACATTTATGTATTTATTTTTATCGGCCTACATACTTATAAGAGGAACTAATATAGAATCTGTGTGGACAACATGACGACTGCATTTTCGCTTAGGATAGATATTTATATGTAGGGGCATAGTCTGCCAGTTGTGCTCATTTATAATAATTTGCTTAATTTAGCTCAGTTTAAAATGCATTTATTTACCTAAATTGTCTTGCCTTAGAAATTCATATATATTATACATACCACTAATATTGCTATTGAAATCATTTTTATTATTTATTTCTTTTGTATAAAATTAATAGATGTGTGTGTTTTTAAGTGGAAAAATGAATGCAGGTATATAGAAAAATACAGATACAGAGAGAATTATTGTAGTACTCAGTATATTCTTTAAAAATGGCATGTTGATGATTATTAAAGAATCAAAAATCCACCCTGATTCTTTTAGTTATTATCAGGCAAGTTTCTCTTCCTTACAATTCTGTGCCTTATCATGTAATTTTGCCTTTTCCTTTCTGAATGTCAAAATATTGATATTCTTTCAGAAACTTTCTTTTTAACACAGAATATTTTCTGGAGAGAATCAAAGAGAATGAATGACTAGAAAGGTACTTCAAATATGCATACTGATACAGAGAAGGTTCTGTTGATTTCTTTTTAAAGTAGAATGCAAGTTTTCTTTCCCTTTTTTAAAAATCAAACTGAAGCCCTTTTACCAGGAAAATCTCAGGTACCCTGTTAGCACGTCTTATGGAAAGATTCCGGTCTTCACAGACCACGTCTAAGACTGTTGGGTATAAAGTGTGAGAAATAAAAATAGAGGGGATGGTGAAAAGGAGGATGGCATTGCTGGGATATTGAGAGTGCATGGGGGATCCAAACTCTCTGAAGAACAAGCAATAAAAGCAAATTGGGGCACTTGACCAAGCAGCGTTTGTCAGAGCTGTTTGTCAGTTTCCTTGGGCTTTCAGATTAGAGAAGTTCCTGCTGCCGGATTGTCCAAGACCCCTCCATGCCAGGCTAATAAAGCCACGGGGTCAGTCCCCTAAGGAGTCAAACTGGAAGTAGTGCAAATGCAATTTGTCCTGGACAATGCCAACATTTAGTGAGAGGCAAGGTCTTTAGTATTATATTGCCCCCCTTCTAAAAAATGGAGTTTTAAAATGAGAAGGTCCTGGCTGAGCATTTGCAGGCTATAGAAATGGGCAGAGGAAGAGAAAATAAGGCTCTTCCTAATATAATGGGAATTTATCACCCATTCCTCTTCCCTTTTTTTTTTGGAAACAGCTAAGGGATAGATCTTCCTTTCCTCAGGGAAGATGTAAAAAAGGCTTCAGTGGTCCGGAAAGTATGCAGTGTTTCCCTGAAAAATAGAAAGACTCTCTTGAGGAGTGATGAGGAGAGAATAGAGGTAGAACTTTAAAGGCATCGTTTCTCAGCTGTTGGGTTTTAATTGTAGCTTCGCTGGTCACTAGTCTGACTTGTACTTTGAAATGGAACATGCATATTGCAACGCAGGGATGCTGCTTTGGCTGAGGGGCACTGAGGCCATGGGATGACTGCCTGGAGAGTATGTGGAAGGACTGTACAGTTTTGCCAGGCCTGGTTAGACTATGGATAGGAATGAGTGCTGAGAAAGAGGGGTGGGACAGCCAGCCTTTGCTTTCCTCGGAATGTGCACAGATTCAGGCAGCCCTTGTCAGGCCGAGCTGTGAGCAACTCTGCCTACTGTCCTGTGCCCTGTTCTACCACTGGGAAACTACCACTACTGTCCCCCTCCGCCACATACACATGCATACAGAGGCTGCATACTTGCAGACCAGGTGCTGTTGTGGTCGGTGCAGGACAGCAGAGGGATGGCTCATAAAGTTCAACTTAAGGCACAGATATAGCTATATATTGCTAAATGCTAGATGGCTAGGCTGTGTGACACCTATTGTTCATTATAATTATATTGGATTCCAATAAACCTTCATACTAAACCAGAAGTAATGGTAGTTTCAGGTTACCTGAAGGGCAGCCTTATTCATACTAACTTTCCTGTACCTTTAAAATTAGCATGATGGCCCTGCTTGTGTGTTCACATATGAGACCAATTAAGAAGTTGTTCTTTGCTTGTAGTATCCAATCGCCAGGACTTTGATGTGATCCAGCAAGGTCCTTCTTATATCTATTGTGTATTAGTTAGGCAGAATGTTGTTTTTTTCTTCTTAGATGAGACAGAGAGTGAGTGCCCCAGTTTGGTGTAGTGTTTACGGTGCTGGGCTAGAAAGCAGGAGACGGTGAGTTCTAGTTCTGCCTAAGGCTTGAAAGCCAGCTGGGGGACTATGGGCCAGTCATTCTCTCTTAGCCCAACAAACCTCACAGGGTGGTTGTTGTGGGAAAAATAGGAGGCAAGAGGATTAGGTATGTTCACCGCCTTGAGTTATATATAAAAAGGCTGGGGTTGTTGTTGTTGTTGTTGTTAGATTCTCATTTACTAATCTACCAATGCACTACAAAGTGGTTACAGAGCACTTATTAATAAAGAGAACCAATATTAAGAGAGTTGAGCAAATGACTCAGCGTCGTTCTTGGAGTTAAGTGTGTACTTGTTTTTTTAACGGCAACACCAAGTTGCTTAGATTATTTTTTTGTGAAAATCTACACTGTTTTCTTTCCAGTATCTATATGTTCAGTACAGTATTAGTTCACCAAACAATAGAGTGAAGAGCAGTCAGCACTTTTTTGCTACATAATATGTTAAGTTTAACAAATAGATTCTGTAAACAAAACCGAAAACCGTTATTTCATGTCTGTAATCCCAAGATGATGTGACATTCAAACACAATGCCATGTTCAAGTTTAAGAAGTACCCCAAAGGCATAAGAGAACCCTATTATGTTTTCGCATGGAAATAATACATTAATAATGGTCAGATACAAAAAGCGAGAAAATATTCTGCTGCCATATTATTGTAGAGATTTTGCCCTCTAGTATTCGGAAACCGTGGTTGACGTCAAATTACAGTATCTCTTATTGTTTTAGTGATGCAGTTTTACTATATAAGTTTGCAGCACTCACATTTTATGTTTTTCAAGGAAGAAACACTATCATTTCTTTTTCTTCATAGCTTTTTTAAAAAAATCCCATTGAGGTTTAGCTCAAATTCCTAGGCAAAATAATAGTACTATTTCTGTCATCTAGTATTCCTTTTTTGAAATACTTGTCTTTGAAATCCTCTTGCATAAAATTCACGCTTGTATTTCTCAAGGGTGCTACTGCAAATGCAGATCTCTAGGACTAGGGTGTTGATTGTGCTACTGGTTATTTTTTTCCACTGAATTAGTAGCAAGTTTTAATAGAAAGTCCTCTCTAAGTCCTGAATTTTAGTGTTGCTGAAATACAGACATCTTTTCACCCAAGGTCATTTAGGAAAGGTTAATTATTCATTGTTGCTTGGCAGTGATTTCTGAAGTTTCAGTTTTAATTAATACTGTTTGAATCACAATAATACTTACCTATCCCACACTCCTTTGAACGGAATGGGTTGTTGAAAGCTGTACTTCATTATCTAGCAATAGGTATTTTTCCCCCTTTTCGCATGCATGAATACGTGTGCAAAAATTCAGAGGGATGAATCCAAAGGTACAGGGGTGTCTGCAGGGAGAGGGGGCAAAAAAGTCAAGATGGCAAACACCAACATGCAATCAAAGCCCCACTCTTTCTAATGTGTGACATGATCCCTCCTACAAAGATGTATTCCAAAAGAAGTCTTTTTCTGCCTGCAGAAGGACTCCTAACAGTGCAAGAACCTTGCATGAGATTATTAAGTCCACTTCTATCTGTTCCATATAACACCTTACATTTGGATTTACTGTATGTTACCCAGTGCCTTTTGTTAGTTCTTGCATACTTCCATTGTCTACTATCACATCTCTGTATTCAACCTTTATAATTCTCTGCAGGGGATGGGGCGGTGAAGTCAAAGTCTGTCTTTGAGAGACTCAGTGAACCTAAAATCAAGAACCTTGATTTCTACAAATAGTTTATTCATTGCTTATATGGGGGAGCTGCTGCTTGTACATAATGTCTAGTCTGTACTGAGATGACAATACCAGTGGGATGTAGAAAGTTACTTCTCACACCAACACCACCCTCCTAGTGCTGCCATCAATGTTGAGAAGTTAAATAATCATACTCTATGTTCTTATTACATGAGTTCCCCATTATCCAGTTTAGCATTACTTCAAGTCATCACATGAAAAAAGGAACCATGGTGACAAGGTAACTTGTAAATTGATTTCTAAAGTCAATGTACAGTTGTAGATTAACAATTCTTAATAAAGTTATTGGAAACTTTGAATGTTTGAAAACTTTATTGTAAAATCTAAGGTGATGGCTATAGTTAAACTACTCTGTTTCTCTGTTTCTCTTTTGTTTTAAAGCCCTAAACTTTTATTGTTACTAGTAACAAATGCATCAATGCCAATCATGGCATTAGGCAATAAACTGGGGTACAAAATACCTAACCTTATGATTTGACAAGTTGACTGTGAAGCAGAGGTCAAGAAAGCACTGAAAATTAGACATATGTGAAGACATTATAGAAAAACTGAATGTTGTCCTTTTTCTTTGGCAGGAAAGAACACGCTTTGAGAATTTAGGCCCACAGCTATCAGGGAAACCCAGTGAAGATGGAAAGCTAGGTCCAGGAGTCATTGATCTTACAAGGCCAGAAGATGCAGAGGGTGAGTTACTGAAACAAATCGATTGAACTGAAACACTGCTTTTTTTGAGCACTTTAAGGTTGAATATCTTAAATGATAATATTGCAGCTAAGTCCCTGTGCATAGGTTTGAAGCATTTTGCATGATTTTTAGTGTCATGTACAAGCACAAAGTCTGGTTTTAAAATGTATCATACAATATGCATTTTTTGGTTTATTATTTAGAGGCTATTGCATCTTACATCTTACCAAACTATCCCAGGTTCAACTTATATGTTGCCTCTGCTGACTAATATGTATCTATAATTGCTATTGAGTAGGATGATATAATCAGGTTCCATAAGCAAATAATATTCATGACCATATTATGAGTTCCTTTTTCCTATGGATAAACACATATTGTGACCAGGTCATTTTGCTCAAGATATGGGGAATAGTCATCTGTCACCTCCAGATGTGGTAGGAGATTCCAAGATTGTCTTCCTCTGCTGCTCTACATGTGAATAAATGTAAAGAAATGTTAATATTGAGTTGACTTATATACCCAGAGACCACAAAACATCACATTGCTGTGCAAGTCAATATTCATAGAATTACAGGGTTGGAAGGGGCCATTTAGATCACTGAATCCAACTCCCTGCTTTGTGCAGAAATCCAGATTAAAGCATCCTAGATAGATCCCAACTTTCACTTCAGTACATCCAGTAAACTCAACAAACCACCTTTCTGCATAATTGGTTCAATTGCTAGGTTGCTCTTACTTTAGGGGGTAGGATTCATTGGTAAGTATTAGTAAGTAAGTATTAGTAAGATCATTTGAATGGCTCTTACGGCACCTTTTAACATACATTTTAATTAGAGTAATGAAGAAAAAAAACAAAGGAAGTGAACTACCCAATTCATTGATTGATTGCAGAATTAATTACAATGAAGTTTTAATCTTCAGATGAAAATATAAGGAATGCTGATAACTTATTGATTAGATGCATATAACTTTTTAATGAAAATATTACCTTCACAGGTTTATAGTCCCAATTCTGTTAAACCAGTGGAAACCTCCCCATTGATTCCAGTAATCAAAGACTGTGCACCATAGTGTGTATTGAAATTAGTTACTTGATTGATCAGTTAAAGACATTGCCATTAATCAACTAAAAGCCTGTAATTGGTTGACAGCTGTATTGGAAATACTGTTTATAAATGACTATGTCAATCATATTTTAGGATAAATTTCCACTTCAAAAGAAATTATACCTAATTATAATTTTTTAAACTCTTTTATTTTTATCAAAGTTTATAGAATAATAAAATAATGCTACAGAGAACAATACAGAAATATTCTCACCTCATTCTTTTATTTTGATACAGCAAAATATTGTTGTGGAGTAAAATGATTAAAACGTATCAGTACTTACTGATAAAGTAAAACATAAATTGGGGTTTCCCGTGATTTATTCTTTTCTTTTGCCTCATCCTTCACATATTGCATATGAAAAGGTAGGAAGATTATGCTCTGGCCATTCCTACTGAGCCTATGAACATTCCATTTCATTGGAGAACAGTCTCTAACGTGTATCCTCTTCAACTGCAGAAGAATAAGCTGTATTGAAATACAGCTCAGTTGCTGCTGGTCAGTTTCTCTGCAGAGACCAGCAGATACCATATTATTCTTCAATTTAGGAAGTCTTGGATCAGTCCAACAAAACATTCTATATCTAGAAGCCTAAATGGCTTCAGTTCACACCTATTTCAGAATGAATCCCTTTGCTTTTGAAGGTGGGGTAACATTTGTACCATATTGCTTGTTTTGTTTTCTGATTTCATAAATAGTTCTGCGTATATGTAGGAAGCTACAAATAATTGTCTCTGGAAAGGACATGAAGACATACCAAACATTCAGAAGTTGTTGGTGGCTATCCAGGAAATATGAATGGATATTAAAGTGTATACAAAACATAGAATCATCAGAAGGATGATACCACTTCATCTTTTGTTCTGTATCATTATGTGGTTATCTTGGAAGACTTCTTATGCACACATAACAAACTTATTCAAAATATTATTACTAATTGTGCTAACAAGTACATTGTGTAATATATGAAGGCTCTGTTAGGTCCTTACTAAAGAATTATTTTGGGTAACACTTTGGAAGCACTCAGAGGATGAGGAATTCCACTGAGTGTAATGAATTCAGCTACCTACATGGCTGCCATGGTGTCAGCTATGTAAAGGTGTATTTACTGTGTCCAGTTGGATTCATCCCTGTGTCAGAATTGGAAAGACATTTGCTCTTACCATGCCATGGGACATTTGAGGGTCTGACATGGAAGGGGAAATTAGGCCCTACTCTCTCAAAGCTTCATTTTTATACAACTCAACATGTTAACTGATATGGCAGTCAGAATTAAGAAAACTTGTGTCAGAGCTGTCTGGAATCTGATTGGATCCTTTGGAACTGGGCTTCTAAATATTTTATTTTACAGTGATAAATAAATAATGAAAAACTGTATGCTAAAATACAATTTTAAAATATTTGAATGGGTTTCATAAAAATATACAGAAGATTCAAATGAATAATTTTATTTAGTCAATATTAGGAATGCCCATTAATGCCAATACATATTAAATGCTCTTTTATATATGTCAGATGTCTCATCATCTGACATATATAATTCAAAGGGACAAGTACATATTCTCAGAGTAGGAAAGGAGACAAAAGTAACATAAGAATTTTGATCAACAACTTTTACTTTCCAATGAGAATCCATATATGTCTGCTATTCAAACAGCTATAATCTTGCTTGCTTTCTCACACACTTTTAATGCCATGGAGAAGAAGCCTGCCTTTTTGGAGGGGGACAGCTTACACCTGAAAAATATTAGGAAAAGTAGCTGATTTAGCTCTGTATGAAACAACTCTCATGCTGACTTATGAGAAAAAGATGTTCATAGTTCTGCTATTTGTAACTTTTCTGTAGTTTTCCTCCTCCTAAATGTTTTTTCTTTAAAACAGTTCTACCAATTAAGACTAATAACATCTATTGAGGTGAAATGATTTTATATTTGAATAGCATGTTATTTTAAAATGTGATACATATTTTGCATGTTCTGTGCAACCATCTTTTGCATGAACTGTGACAAACAGAAACTTGAGCATAAATTTCATGTGTGTGTATGCGTGTGTTTCTGCCTGGATGTGCACATATATGAATTCTTCCTATGGATGAATATATGGTGAGCACTTTAGAACAATAATGCCTCAATGGTGCCAGAACCTATGACAAAGCATTTGACAGATACTGATAGCTGCTAATGTCACAGTAGAGAATGTCATTTCAAAGAGGAGAAGAGCTGCTCCTTTCCTTTATACATAAAGTAAACATGTACTCAGAATTGTAGCCTCAAGTAACATATTAAATGTAGGTATTGGCTGGCATGTCATGTGCAGGCTGCTTAAGTAGTTTTGCATCCCCCCAAGGCCAGTCTGAAGTCAGTAACAATATGTAAACCGACCAGATGAGAGGACACAGGGTTAATTTCTAATCTCAGTTAACCCAGACCTCTCTTGGGGAGGCCTGAATTTCCATGTCCATCAAAATATGGAACACTTAATGTGCCTGCTGTTATCCCCCCACCCACAGATACATTTAGAAGTCAAGCCACATGTCATGGTGGGATGAGTCAAAACCCCTGATTTCAGTAATTTCCTAGTAATGTTATTTAACTATTTAAACATCAGTACACCCGAAATGTGTCAGTTGATAAGAAAGGACACTGAGTGCCAAACTCTCCTATGTATTTGCAAGATTGCAAAACCAGCTTAATATTACTACTTCTTTGATACTGATGATAGCTTAAACTTTAAATATCCATGGCCTATAGCCTATGCTATAAGATAATTGTCCATCTAAAAAGTTCTTGAAATATTTTCTTGCTTTTGATACACTAGGCTAATATGGCTGTAAATCTGTATACTCAAAAAAGTCATGTGGTTTGTCCGTGATAAGACCAGATATATTAAGTGGTCTTATCAGACTGCCTTTGCAGTTTGAACCATAGCACTTTGAACCGGAGCTGAAAAAAATATGTAAAGTGAACATTAATTAGATTTGTTTGGAATCTGCTAAAAAGCAAAGTCTCCCTGGAGTCAAGCTCTGCTCTTGATGGACACAGACATGTTCATGTTGTTTTCTCAACACTATGGACGTGTTTGCTACTGCTGTTTTCTGGGATGTTTTTAAACTTCCTGGACAAGTGTCTATTTCTTGGTGTTCTCTCATCCAAATACGAACTAGATCAGACCTTGCTGAACTTTTCAACAACTGCCAAAATTGACTATATACTACCACCTACTATAACCGCTCTAAGACAAACCAGCGTTTGTATGGAGTTTATTTGAAGACTTGTTTGTTTGTCAGTGAAAGATATGATCAAATTCTTGGGTGGAGCCCTGGAAATATGCGCAGTTGTCTAGAGCAAGAAGCCTAGCAATACATGCAATTATTTCCACAACAACTGGAGCCCTGATTCTAAAGACTTGCAATTCATATGAAAGTTTTGCATATACACAAAGGCTCCCTGCTGTAGATGTTGTGATCTAAGCCTAGACATCATGTCTTCAGTTAGGTCACCAGTGCAACACTGCTTCTCCAGTGCTGGACTGAACAAATGAAGGTAACACCTAAACAGTTATCTGAAACTCTTGCTCATGATTTTTCTATATAATCTTCTATTGGCCTTTGAAGGGGGAAATGCCAGATATTTTTCCTTGTTGGCTTTTCATTTTTGCTATTTGTCCCATGCTATAATCTTAGAACAATTATGGGAAGCATGTGCTGACTTCTGTTGTAGAAATTCTGAGACCGAGAATTGTTCTAGGATTACAGTTACTTCCAATTTCATATATGTATTAGGAGATAAATCTGTATTCTTTTTATGAATTAGTATTTTTGTGGACTATTGGCAAGACTGCTTAGGCAATTTAGAAGCTTTTTTCCAGTTGCCATGTACTCTTCACTATTC